CCCTAACACTAGTAACCGTACTTTCGAACACGAACTTCTCTTCGTCTGATTTCGTTTTGGCACTTGCAGCACTCAACCCTTCACACGGATACAACAGCACAAAAACACATGCCCAACAATATTAATGCCGGCACTCAGGCCTACCAATATTCGCTGCACACCACTTGTGGCAGAGCTCACAATCCGTAACTGTCATTGCACTTACCTGACATACATAAAGCAACCACATCACTGGCAAGTCCCACATTTTCGATTATGGGACCACAGCTATTGTGCATATCCTGATACAGACCTCAGATTTCCATTAGCTTCTTCTTTGACAATATCTATTTACAAATTTCCATAGACAAAAACCAAAGTATGGAATGTATGGTAAGCACATTCTTAAAGAAATCCTGTGTCAGAAAACAAGACGTTAAATATGAACATCAAACTATGGTTGGTGATATTAATGTTTTAAAACTAACAATTGTTGTGTTCGTTTCTTTTTTCTTTGCATCTACTGACAAAATTAATTCTATTGAATATTAACACTTTCATTTACCTCTATCCCTAAGCAAAGTTCAATGGTGTGGCACAGGTTGGGGAAATAAGATATTGGTCCTTAAAAAATCAACTGCTCCTTTGTGGTTTGTGAATCATGAAAGACTTTATGAATCGCTGATGCATAGGCACATATACAATACATAAATAAGAATGATTTCTATTACATCAGATATCCCACTTTCATGCGCAACCTCACAGTTTCCAGACTGAGAGAGATTCTACAAATCAGTTGAATAAAACAAAACATTTACACAAATTCAAAATAATAACTGTGAATGGGGAATTTATAACTACATGTTTCAACCCAATAAGTATTTACTGCCATATGGCATAACCCATTCTAGTCAAACCTCATCGAAATAGTTAAGAATTCAGTCCATACCTCAAAGGAAACACAACATTTCGCTACTATGATCAACTGACCAATATTGTTTATACTAAGAATCACATGAAATCCAAAAACAAAAACTGTGGAGTTACTGTTTGTTACAGCAGCTGGTACATATAGTTACCACTTACCTTTAAAGGGTTAAAAATACTTGTTTGGGAAGTAGTATATGAAATTAAGGGACAACAGATGTGATCAACATACAACCCACATAATGTATAAGCATCTCAGAAGGAGAAAGGAGCAATCGAGTGACTGTAGAGAGGCAATGACTGCAATTTTAATTCCTGTTCCTCCACAAGAGGGTGAGGGAGGGAGACAAAATAAATAACAGAGCCACTTAGAAAAGGAAAGAATCTTAGCAGGTACACAGTCAGGAATTACAATAGGGATGAGAGATGTGACTTCAAAATGACATCAACAACACTGGATAACACCAAAAACTCCTGCTCCAATAAGAATGTCAGTGCAGTAGAATGCCACATAGCCCTGTTCCTCAGTGGCGACATAAGAAGCTCCCAACAACACGCATCACTGTGAAGAGCCGCACTCTGTTTTCGGCATGCTATTCCGATATCGTGTGTCCCTGTAAAAAGAATATTCACCACAGTAATTAATAGTAGTTCTTGACACATCAGCTCTGCATTTCGAACAGCTGAAATAAAGCTGTGTCCTCTTTATAATCACCTGTTCTATGCTGCAACATTACCAGAATGAAACGTTCTCTGCATTAAACTTCATGTTAAACAGCTAGCAGTTAAGGATCAGATGTTCGCATGTATCGGTGTTAACAGTCACTATAGACGTAACTTACATAAATTAAAGATCAGCACAAATGTAAAAGTGAGTACTAAATGTGAAGACAATAAGTAGTCTGCATCTGGAAGAACCTCCAGTACAGAAAATCTGCAGGGTACATGTGTGTGGCCTCTTACAGCTGTCACCTGCATGCCCACAGAAAAGTCTTTCTGCCACTTCTTAAAGGAATTAACATTTATTTTTGTTGAACATCTGGCACTGGAAAACTCAGTTTTCAACATCAATAAACATGACTGTCCAAACAGTTTATCATCACCAGTCTTTAATGTTATTATCACACATAATTAACACAAACAAACAAACGTTAGATGGCAGAGATGCGGAATTTGGATTCTGCAAAGTCACAAATGATGCTACAGGAGAAGACTGTTGAAACAGAAGTCTATCACCTACATTCTTATCTGAATGTGCCACATGGCCTTCGTACCACATCTCTCTCTTCCTCTTTCCTGCACTGTCACTCAAAACAACAACAGGAAGCAGTGAACATGTAAAGCAACATCAAATATTTTGAAAAGAAAAACAGTGGTGTAATAAATAAGGAAAAACTTTTCAGGGCCCATGAAGTGTTTTTTTTAAGTATCATAATATTTGTGCCAGACTGTAAGTATAACCGTATACATACCCCATGAACACATTAAGAATAAAGACACTCACCAAACATATTAACTGCAGCCATCAAGTTTGTGCTGGAGGTGTGTATGAGAACAGTACCACCATTACCCAAAGATGCAGAAGCACCTGAAACAATCACACCAACCTAGCAACAATTTATTTACGTACAGAAGAGTGACTTTAAAGTCTGCTCAACTGTAGTGGCATGTCCCCCCACACAGACACGGCCACCTGAAACTCCTCAGGTACGTGGGTGATGCGACAGGCTTTAAGAGAAGCATCCGATCCCTTTTGCCTCCAAATGAAAATGAAAAGTGGCAACAAACCTGAAGTAACATGGAAAATTGATTCACCATACAAAACAATGACATAAATCTGAGCTGATGGCAGTGAACTAGTGACATGTAAAAGTGAGAAGAAAAATCTATTACATTCGAATACACTGATTAAATGAAATATTGTTACTGTTACACTTCCTACATAACTCAAGGGCATAAACTGTGTTAAAGATTTTAAAATTTGCTCTCAGTTATTATTTTCAAACATCAAAGACTGCAAAATGTATGAGGGAACACCTAGTAATTTATAACTACTAAGATAATACAGTTACTGCTGGGGCAAGTAGCATGTGTTGGATGTACGGGAAATGCAAACAAATTCATATTTGGATGGAAACAAAAACTCAAAGGAAAACACCACTTAAGAGGAACAGGTATAGGTGGGAGCATACTATTAATGTGGGTCTTAGAGAAAGTGTGTGGGAAGAACTTGAGAGGATTTGTCTGGTGCAGGACAGACTCTGACGGTGGGCTCTTGTGAATTTGGCCATGAAACTTCAGGTTCCAGAAAAGATGGATTCTTTCTTATACAGCTCAGTGACTATAAGCTTTTCCAGTTTGCTCATGAGCCAGGAGAGCTCAGTTACTGAAATGATTGGCTGTTAAACTGGGGTGCACCCAGCCTCCAATTCAACAAGCAACAAAGGGCTGATGATTCATCTCAATCTAGTATGAAAATCAAGAATGTGTGGAGCCTTACCTCCACTGCCCATGGCATGGTGCTCAGACACAAAGACAACTTTACACCTTCACCAGTCTACACATCAATGTACACTGTCTGATCAAAAGTATCCGGACACCCCTCTGTAAACGTAAACTCGATCCTAGATATCACTACGACCGCCGCTGCCGCTATAAAAGGAGGCAGAGGGCTCGATGTTGTTCAGTGCTACGCGATACCGACAGAATGGGTGGAGCAAGGGAGCTCAGTGACTTCGAACGTGGTATGGTTATTGGTTGCCACATCAGTAAGCAAGCCGCTCTCAGTGGTGTAAAGAGCGCCGCCAATGGGCTGTTGACGACTGGAGACGCGTGATTTGGAGTGATGAATCACGCTATACCATGTGGCAGTCTGCTGGGATGGTTTGGGTGTGGCGAATGCTAGGTGAACGCTACATGCCGGCCTGTATAGTGCCCACAGTGAAATTCGGCGGAGGTGGGGTGACAGTGTGGGGGTGTTTTTCATGGAAGGGACTTGGTCCTCTCGTAATACTACGGAGCACGTTAAAGGCGGAAGGATATAAGGACATTTTGACCAGCCGTGTGTTGTCTACAGTAGAAGACCAGTTCGGAGATGATAACTGTGTGTTTCAGCATGACAATGCTTACTGCCATAAAGCAGGGTCTGTTCGTGAGTGGTTTGTGGACAATAAGGTTCCGGAAATGGACTGGCCAGCCCAGAGCCCCGATCTCAATCCTACTGAACACCTCTGGGATGAACTAGAAAGGCGACTGCGCGCCAGACCCCAACGACCCACATCACTAACTACGCTTGCTACAGCGTTGCAGGAAGGATGGTCGGCCATTCCCCCGGCGACGTTCCAACACCTGGTAGACAGTCTCCCCCGCAGAGTTAGAGCTGTAATAAATGCCAAGGGTGGGCCCACCCCGTATTAATGTCCACTCTGGGCAGTAAATCCGAGGGACACTTAGAGGACAGTTTCGCGTACGTGTCCGGATACTTTTGATCAGGTAGTGTATTTGTTTCCCCAGAGCCCGTCTACTAGACACTGCAGTCGGCTAAACTTACCACGTAACAAAGAACAAGGATCCGTGCCAGCGGATAACGTCGTAGGAACACCCCAGTGCGGATGCTGACAGCATCAAGAGACGAGTAAGCACGTTTCACTCGGCGTGTGACACCGGTATCAAAAGGAGATTCCATCAGGAAACTTGGAACTCGTGCCTTGGCTGCCAAAACATATTATAAACATTTCCATGAAGTGATAAGAGGTTGCCCTTTGTTTACAAAGAGTTCACAGACTCAGAAAATACAGTTTATTTATTTTCTGTTTATTAAATGACACTGTTAGTATCCCAGGTTTAAATGAAAACTGAACTAGAAAGAATACGGAAGGAAGCAATTGTGGCCTTACATAAAGCACTATCCTGGCATTTGCTTGGTTAAACTGAGGAGAACGATAGAAAGATTTAAAAATAATGATTTAGTTAAAAACAAAGTTCTGGGCATAATTTGTACTATATTTTGAGTTCCAAGTGCCAGTTCATAAAATATGGGGAAATTCTTGACCAGCTGAGTGAGTATTATCTTCTCAACATGGACCTTTTTTTACACAGTTTGTGAGTTCTAGGAAGAGCTGATGAGTGTGTTTTTCAATTAACTCCTTTAACTCTGAATCAGCTGAAACTGAATAAAATCTCGTGTGATCCGCCGCATCATATGGTTAAAAGAAGAAACCAATGTTTCAGGGACCATCTCTGTCCTAATAATCAGGGTTCTGAAACTGGCTACTTCATATAGTAACAGAATTACCCATAGAAGGAAATAACTTCAGAACACACAGTAGGAATTCGGACTGAGAGATAGCAACAGAATACAGAAAAAAATGAAGCTGACAAGACATGAATTTTGAAGTCAGCACGACCCGTGAATATCGACACAGAACTAAAAATATTCTATGTTTAACATTATATAATGCTTATTATGTGACCATACTCTGTAGCCGTGGACATCTAATTATATCGCAGGGTAACTAACTCCAAGCTACTTGGCTCAAATAACAACACGTGGATAGCGGTCTCCTCATATTCCCTCTCTCAGAAACACTGGTATCTTCCTACAAATCCACATGGCATCACATCCCAGAAGACCAACATCGACATCTTTACTAGTGGGGGAACCTCAAATCTGGTGCCAAAAGGTTGTGTGGCTTACCATCATCTGTGTCATTCACACTCCCCAGCCCATTCTGCATCTCATGCAGCAAAGCTAGCGTGTCCCGATGCTTATTCTGAAACACAGGGTATTGGATTTTTAATACACGTCTTCTTCTGTTCTTCATATTTAATCAAAGATATGCCAGACCCTGTCTATATCAACAGTGAAACAAGACATTCTTGGACAAACTACAGATGCTACCTTTCATGATATGATCTCCATTAATAGAGAATCTGACTATATTAATCTTACATAATAAGTGAGGTAACCCATACTGGAATGACATTCATGGCAAATTCCACGGAACACTATTGAAATCAGTACGTAAGTTGCCAAGGGGAAGAGACACACCAAGACACATGTCAATCAACAGACAGTAAGCCTCACCTTCCTTATCAGACAATGAAAGTAAATTAAAAATACTACATTAGCAAACTTAAAAATGGCAAGGGTAGCTCAGTCTGTACAGTCTCTGACTACAGACTGACTGGGGTTCGATTCCTGGTAGAGGCAAAGGATTTTTTTCTACCGTGTGTTCAGACAGGTTCTCGGACCCACACAGCCTGACATTCAGTGGGTGATGGGTGATGGGGGGGGTCCTGTCTTGGGTGTGTGTGTGTGTAAAGTGTGGCGAGGGAGTGACACAGACCACTCACTCCCATCTAGTGCTGGGATCAAGAATGAGTAGGAGCTATACCTCCTCTCCTTCCTTGTGTCCCCGTGGCCTCTCTCCCCTCCGGCCAGGTAAATACATTTCTAGAACTTTGCATCCAATAGTTACGTAAAGTGCAGCTTCCATAATAACACAATTATCATTTGGGAGAGATATCAAACAGCTGAAGAATATCTTCAATACCTGACTGCAATGCTACTTATCACACAAGGTAGGATACACTGACCTCAACCTTCTCAAGCTGAAGCCGAAGAGCATTCTTTTCCATGGTGACCGTCTCCAGCGAGCTCTGTTTCAGGACCAGCGTCTGTGTCAACACATGCAGACGAGACTCCAGTTCATCACCAGTTGGTGAAGCAGGGCGTTGCGATAACCGGCTTCTCAGTCTGGTGAGTTCAGCCTCCCGTTCACGTACTCGTAATGCTAACTGAGCCCTCTGCCTCGACAACTCATCCCTTACTGAACGCAGTTCCTGGAACAGCAGAGTCACACTGTGGACACAAACATACATACATAGGGGATAAAAACACCTCCTAGTGCAACCCCTCTATAAACCTTTGGAAAATGTAATGGTTTCATGCTGTCCGTGACATTTCAAGATACGCTAGTTTCCTCTGGTGTGGGGCTGTTAGCCCCACACCCAACTCCCAAGCTAATAAACCTTGCTATGTAGGCTGTGGGCAACTACTCATTCAACATGTTCACAGCTACCCACAATCTGTAACTTGTGGAAATGTCATGTTTCTGCAGTTGCATTTTTTCTGAATTCTGTAACGAGTTACGTAAATTCCTGGTCTGGGGTTTGTGTGTGCGTAAAGAAGGATCCCCTCAGATTGTGTCACACACCTCAGCATGTGTCCTACAGTCCTCCTCTGCGGCCTGCCTCTTCTTGCGCTCCTCCTGAAGGCTGTCCTGCAGCAAACGCAAAGACTGGCTTGCCTGCTCCCGTCCGCTCTCCAACCGGTGTTCTGTCTCCTGCAGCTCATCTCGACATGCCTTAAGTCTCACCGACACTTGTGCGACCTCTTCACGCAAGAGCTCTCGTTCTTGTCGCAACTGATCCAGCTCGAGCTCTACTGTGTCATCTGCAGGGATGCTTCGCCCTGCTGAGCCTGAGAAATGTGCATAAAGAAACATGTAGTAATATGCATTCGACAGCATAAAACAGAAAAACAGGGGAACTGAGAACGTATGATGGTTACGTCACATCACCCGCCTTAGTCGAAATGGATACAAACTTCAAGAACTATAAAGCAATAATTATACAACTTAGTGATCCACTTCTGCGCATATTTCAAGTTGTACAGGTACATCTGTCAGATATTACAGAGTGACATGTTTGTAATCTCAAAATCTGTAACATAGCATTTGCCTGCAGTAACTGAAGACAACCTCAGTCAGAAACTGTTGTGCTTGGAGAAATTAAAATTGGGTGCTTCCTGAATACAAGTCAAGACATGGACCACCTTAACATTAAGTAATGTGAAGTAACTCATGCAATACCAAAAAGATTCTGGCTCAGAACACCCAGTTCCCTTGCGTGATATTGAAACCACACATATAAGTTAACCTTGGCCTCGCAGTTCTGCAATTAGTCGCTCCTTGTCCTGCAAAATTCGCTGTGCCCGAACCCTGTACTGGTCTAGTTCACTGCGAGAGAAGGCCAACTCTGCACGAGTTCGATCAAATTGCTGCTGCAGGTCATGGGTCACGGCCTCCCCGTGGCTCAGCCTACTGGTGAATCCTACTCGTTCTGACTCGAGGACGGCCACCCTGAGTAAAAAATTATAACTTTCCAGAAAACCATCCTTCTACAGTGTATAATTTTAATTCTACTGGGCTGTGTCTGCTCAGCAATGCAAAAGAATAAACTTTTACTGGACAATGGTCAAAATTATGACTGGTGGATGAAAAATAAAGCTGTGAATAATGGGGTTCATCCCAGAATTCCCAGAGCGTATCAATGTTGGAACAAACTGAGCAGAGTGTACTAAAATTACACTACCCAATACACTTTACAGACAGAAAAACAGTCTTTGAATCAAATGGTCTGCTTGCATCAGGATATTGTGCATTAAAAAGGTGCAGCAAAGGGTCAGTAAGAATGAAGACTACAATCTGTATACTGTAAATTTTGACTGGCCCCACTGTGGGTGTAACCTCTTGAAGAACTCGCACTTCTATGTAACTGGCAGCCCTGCTACGTACGGCCCAAACACAGATGGCTGCAGTAATGTACGAGAAACGGGAGCAAGTTTCTCACCTCTCCTGCAGGGCTGCCAGCTCCTTGTAGTGGCCTGCCTGTGCTGCTTCCAGTTCCCCCTCTTTTTCTGCAATCTTGTCCCGCAGTGCCTGCAAAGTCTGGCTCTGATGCCCACTGGAGTCTGCAGATTCCTGCACCAACCTACAGAATGGCAGTAGACTGAATTATACTAAATTTGTGGGAAGGGTTTCTGAGAAAACAAAGACTGGAAGGAAGAAATTAACACTTTCTCTGCTCAGCAGTGGTGCCAAATGCTTGCTGAATTGTTAAAATTCCCACACCTAAAAATCCTCATCTTGAAAACTTGTGCCCGTAACTCCTCCAATACTCAGAATAGCAAAATTGCCTACTCTTCATTCTTGGCTTGTAATCACCTGCCTCTAATGCAGGTAAAATATCGGCCTCATTTTACGAGGCATCCTGCGCGCGCGCGTGTGTGTGTGTGTGTGTTGCTCTCATTTAGTCTCTTAGTATCAGGAGTAAACAGCTGTACCAGTGGCTACAAGAAATATAAATATTTAGTTTGTCAGGATTATGCAGAACTCACAGCAACTGTTTCATGTTCACAATTTCAAATTATATAAAAGATAACTGCACACAATATCTTATACCCATCTATGTCCAGGTCTCTCAATTCATCTCTTCCCATTAGGTTTCTCACACATTTCCCATCTTCCCTAAGCATTCCACATGCCTCACCATGACACCATCTTTCTAACAATATTAAGTGACAAGAACAAATTATAAAGCTCCAGGTCTCTCCAGCCTCCTGTCACTTCCTCGCTCTTAGGTTCACATAACAGCGACAGACACCAGTGACTGAAAAACCCATACCGAGTGTTCTCGAGTTGATGTCCCTGTGCCAGGTCCTGTGCTACAACCATCTGCTGTCTGACATTTTGCAGCTCACTCTCCAGTCTGGCTACCTGTTCATCTCGCTCCTTCAAAAACCGCATTGACTCTTTCTGGGCTTCCTGCAGACCCGTCAACTGCTGCTGCAAACTACAATTATCTGCGACAGACCAACGAAATTTCCTGATCATTTCCCAAAGTCCTTTGGTGTAACCAAATGAAGTATTGTGCTTGTCTTCACAGCACTTTGCGCAGAGCTGCGTTGGTTAATTTTTATTAAGCGGGGCGCTCATTCTCGAGACTGCATTTAGAGACTGATTGTAACCAATGAAACAGGGAAAGGAAGATCACCGTGTCTGTTCTGTCAAGATATGTAAGTAATTTACATGCAAAACATGGAAAACGAAGACACACAATACAGTCTGAGATTAAAACCGGATATCAGACAGATACATCAAGTAAATAAAGCTGTCTCACTACAAACTCATGAGAGTAGAAAGATGGGCTTCCAAGTCAGGTACCTCTGAGTTACCACATTCAGAATTAAAATTTCTATTTGCAAGAAGAACATAAAGGTTAATTAATGTGTTACAACCTGAGCAGGAAATAACAGTGTAGAATGGGATGATATCATAGATACGCCACGCAATTACCTTTTTCGGCATTTTTGGCGCGGCTTAGCAGCTGAGACATCTCACTGTTCAAGCTCCTTAACTCATTTTTCAGAAGGCCATTCTCAACCTTAAGTTCTTCTGATGAATCCTCAGTCATACCAGAAACTGGGGCACAGTTACTGGGGGCCTGCAAACAGAGTCACAAGAGAACATTTAATTGTTAACAAAACACAGACCTCATAATGCAGTAGTGCAGAATGGACCAAAAACATAAATGGGCTGATGAATGAAACCTCGTGATCTAGGGGTAAAGTGCAGACAGGTCCACATTGCCACAGCCAATCTCTAATTCTATAATTTGGGGCAAAACTTAAAAATCCCACCCACTGACTTCTCACAGAAAAAAGTGGACTTGTACCTTAACCAAGCCACAACAGCAGCAGCAGCATCAACAAAAGCACACACATTTAAAGCAAAAATAAATTAAGAAGCAAATGTCAGAATTTCAAATTTCATCACTAACAGATCTTTTACAACATTGCAGAACAAGCAGAAAATAAATGTTGATAGAATGAGCTCTGATGGCATCAAAGAACAAACTTTTAACAACCAACAAAAAAGAAGAGAGAGAGAGAGCGAGAGAGAGAGAGGATGATCTGCAAGAAGACGGTACAGTACTTACGACAGATGTCTGCTTGACGGACCTAGTAGCCGACATTTCATCTGCTTCTCCTCTTGGTGAGACACGTCTTGACGTTGGCAGGGAGCTCTGCTTGGCCCCTTGCTCGACCACAATAGGGGAGAACCTCTTTGCCTCTGACACAGCACCTCCATGACCATTCCACTCCAATACTTCTTGAACAGGCCTCTCTTGTTCCTTAAAATAATGTGTCTGTGCTAATACAGTGTTCAGTTTATAAGAATATGTGACAACCTGAGTCTTATGAATCAAAAGTACTAATTGCTTGAGGCAAGTGTCATGGCTCTAACAGAGAGGATGTAACCCAAATACTGGAGAGAACTGTTCAGTGAGGATCTTCATGAATTATACACACCAACAAAGATTAATAGGAAGATCACATCATGGAGGCTGACATGGGCAGGGTTAGCAGCATGCAGAGACATAAGAAATGCACACAAAACTTTGGTTAAAAAGCCTGAAGGAAAGAAACCACTCAAAAGATACAGGCATAGATGAGAGGTTATTATCAAAGAAATAAGGTCAGAAAATGTGGACTCCATTCATGTGGCCCAGGATAGGGATCAGTGAACACAGCAATGAACCTTCATGTTCAAGAACTGAAGGGAATTTCTTCACTATCTGAGCAACTGTTAGCATCTCAAAAAGGACTCAGCCCCACTGAGTTTGTTAAAATTATAATTAAATTCATTACCTGGTGTTAAATACTGACATGTGTTGCCAAGAAATCTGGCAAGTTTTGGTCATGGAAATGACATCACAACCAAATCATTATTAGTTTTATAAAACTTAGTATGTATGGTTCAGATTTGTACATTCTGCATTTGTTTATTAACATCTGAAATCACACCCCAAAATATGTGTGTGTTTCTGGGTATAGAAAATGCTTGTAAGCCAGTAAAATAAAGTAGCAATACAACACAACACAACTGACCTCTTCTGATACGCTGATTATTGGTGGCTCTGAACTATTCAGGAATTTGATTAATTCATCATCACTGTTGGCTTTAGTTGCCAAAACTGGGCTGCGACCTCCATGGCTTGGAGACGACCTGACAGAACCAACACTGCTGCCACTTGAGACTGACCGCAGTGGTGGAGGGGTGAACCTTGCCGACCTATATGGTACAACCCTAATATGAAATAAAAGTAAAAATGTCAAAAACTGCACTTGAAGTAACCTAACCCTAACATACCTCATATTTCAACTGCATGTCCTTACCCATTAGACTGCTGTCCCTCCCAGGTAACTTCCGTTAACAGAGGCTCCACCGAATTTAATTCTTTTCTTTCCTTCTGAAGAGCAACAGCAGCATTCTGATCAATCTGATTCAGAAAATCCTCCGCTTTCCCAGCTAAACCTTTCAACCACGACATCAAATCAAATTATCTAAGGAGGACTATGCGTACTTTTCTGTACTTGGTAGAACAAACTGTAATTACACAAAACTCGGTCGAATTTTTATCAAAATGTCCCTCTTGTGACACAGTTTACAAAAACTTTTATGAAATCATTACTAACGAAATTAATACCAGTCTGACACGTAAAAGCCTAGCGTTAGACGGTCTTCAACTACTCATGGGGGTGGGGGGTATGGCTCTTTCTTAAACACTTGAACTAAGCCAGACAACAAGAAAACAGAAATTATTACGAAAACATAAAGTATAAAGATAGCATACAACGATACTCTTTATAAATCACGAATTATAAACTAATTGTTCAAGGATATCATTTATGTTTAACACCAGTACCATCTGTTGGAAATTCTATGTACTTGCGGCTTTCGTACGTCAACATTCAACCGAAAGATGGCAGAAACATTTAAAATTTCGTTGTATATTTTATTTTTCGAGCACTGAACACATAAAATCAATTTCTGTATATTTCATGCTGAGCAAAACAGAAACGATAAAATTAAAATTCGGAACAACAGAGGGCGCAAAGTTCTTTGCACAGTATATACACGAGAAGGGCTTTGGAAGGACAAGCGAAACATTTTGCGTAACTCAGGGGTCAAGGCACACACACACTACAAATACGTAATAAAAGAAAAGGAGACGACACTGAAGATGGATTGTCGAAGAGTAAATACATTCAAATTGCCCGCTGGGTATTATTACTTAGCAAGTAGTCAGTGTGGCTCCCCCCGCCCCCCTGCAGACGTCACGTAGAGATCATCAGGTCAGAGCTGGCTATAGGTGTTGATGCAGAAGAAAAAGTGTTGCAGTGGCGGCAGCAGGCTATGTGGAGGAAGCGGAGTTTACTTCGCCTCGCGATGCTCAGCACTTTTGCTCTCGTCGCCGTGTATTATACGACGTCGCAGTTACACACCATTAAAAAATATCGCAACAGACGAAAGGTAGGTTTCTTAAAACTAAATGTAGATCAATATAGAAAAATACACATTGAAAATACGAAAAAGTACAGGCCTTACCTGTTTTGAATTCTGCTGCAGTTCCAGATTGTAATACAAATTCAGTGGTCTGCAAGGCAATTTTGCCAACGATGGAACGCAAATTTTAACCTGTCCTCCATGTTTGATGCTTGCGATTCTTATCAACTGCTCACGAAAACGCCGTACATTAAGCGATATCATGCAACTTACTTCCATGTCAGTTTTATATATAATTCGATAATAAGATGGAAAAATTCAGTGCTAAACGACACGCACCCGCCACAAGAATTTCTTATACAGTTTTTGCTTTAAAACTGCTGCTCATGACGTCATAAAGCGTAAAACAAAAATTACCCAGCATAGGTTCCGCAGAATAAGTGTAGTATTTACATCAAAATGATAGGGGTTAAGGCTCTTATTGACAGAGTTTGCCTCAGCATGGGTTTCAAATAATAAAATTACGACTAGAATTCAACTGATGCTACGATGAAGTATGTATTAATTCCTCATGACGTAGAGGGGTTATATAAATACAATTGGCAATGATCCTCGCTGTCTCTCAGTCGCTCGCAGACACAGGTGAGGGAATTGGACATTACGGTGCTCAGGACGGGAAGAAATTGCGTCACTCTTTTCGCTCTTCGCCAGATATGAGGGCAATCGAATCGAGGAGTCGTGTAGCGCTCATGAGGGAGATGAGAAATCCATACGAACTTTTGTTTGGGAAATCTGAAGGGAATAAGACGGAAGAGTATGAGTGGGTTCACACGGCCCGGGACGGTGACCAATGAGAGCCGTGATGAACCTTCTGGTCCCATAAAAGGCGGAGGACGTTCGACCAGCTTCTGAAGGAGGAATGTGTTCCGTGGAGCGAGTTGTTATGACGGCAAATTTTGTCGGCCGGTGGAACATGAGAGTGCAGATCACTTAGCACCAAAACCGACGAGGGCCAAGGCTTCCTGATTCGGCGAGCGGTTTCTCTGTTGGACAATTTTGCAACACAGAAAAGGCAAATATTGGAAGCAGTTTTTAATTGAAAATAGACAAATTTTCAGAAGGGAGTTGAAGAACAAAACGACAGAAGAGATTCGAGTTCATAGTTACTTAAAGGACTGAGGGTCGTGACTTACCTCGGTCAGACAGCCGTGGTTCCAGTGCAGGCGAAGGCTCCCGGAGT